GGCCATAACAGATTTTTTTTGGCATAAAAATAAAATAAAAAGAGTATCGCTCCTTTGTTGTTTAACATGCACATGACTAACACACAGCAGAACATCTGCACAGGTTTGTAGATGCTGTACTGAAGGTGTGAAAGGTAAAATCACTCACCCATCGAGGCGATCATGTTAGCTGTGGCCCGCTGATGGTCGGGGAACCACAGGGCTGCCAGCTTGGTGGGAGCGAAAACGATGAGGGGCTGAGCCAAGGCGCCGAGGGTCTGTCCCAACATCACTATCGGGTACTGGATTTTAAAACTCTCACCCGGAAGCGTGCCGAGGAACCGCAGCACGGCTCCGAGCATGTTCAGCCAGGCACCCAGGATCAGCTGTGACAGTCAGAGGGCAGAAGGGTGAAAGTTTAGGAGAAAATCCTTCATATCTGGGAGTGAAATAACTGTCAGACAGTTTCAGAAGGTCTTCTCAAAGATCAGTCCAAGACAGTGGGAGGTCTTCATCTTTAAAAAGGTGCAATTAATCTCAGATTCATGAAGTAAAACTAGCTTACATGGTGTGGTCAGAAGCAGGTGGGACAGGATGTCATGTGGGTGAAGTGACAAATATAAATGGTAGGGGTTAGCATGCCTTCTGGGCTAAAAACAGCAGTCCACAACATTTTCAATTACTCATACTTTTATTAATCATGCCACTATAACTAACAGGTGTCATTGCACTCACTGGCGCTCAGTTGCAGCTCACCTACTCTGTATTATGTGTCACTAGATTCAGACAAAAAGAATAAATTCCTTCATGAACACCTCGTCTCCAAAGTTTCCTGTAGTTTCTGCATAATCTCGTTATCAGACATGCTAACAAACATTACCGCTGCCAATGGCCTGCGTCCTTATTGGAGGTAGCGATCCATTTTTCCTGACTCAGCGGTCATCCGCCTCCTCTCCCTCTCCTATGGCTGGTTGAACTGGTTATTGGGAAGCTGACTCCAGTCTGACTGCTGCGTTTATCAGTTCACTTCATCTTCTGTTTACTTTAAACAAATCAAATTTGCAGGACAATTTCCTGTACAGCATTTTTCCTGGGAGATGACTCCAGGATGAAAGGAGCATATAATGGCCATATCTCAGGCTTCATTCATTTTTAACTTGTACCCATTTCCATCAAGCCTATGTTTATATGCACGCATACAGCACTAGCTCTAAACTATTAAAATCCTCCCCTGGACGGTTTCTTCTCTCTTCTAAAATCATTCACTGCTCACTTAAAACTTTGTGTTCCAGAGTTTAGAATAAACCTCACACTGTGCTCTGAGGTTTACCGTCTCATACTAAAACATATAATATTAAAAAAAAACAAAAAACAGGCAGTTGGTACCGTTATCCTCAGTCCAAGAGTATCCAGCATCCAAGTGGTTGCAAAGCTGAGCGGTATGGCCACCACCATGTAGACCAGTGATAGCCAGTTGATCTCGTCCAGAGTAACTTTCAGGTACTGGGCAGACTGGTTCGCCACTGGTGCAAAGGTAAGCCATGTCTGAGGAGATACCAATATTTTTTTTTTTAAGTATGGAAAGCTACATATATATAAGTGAGAGTGCAGGAGGTCCAATGAATTACTTTTATAAAGATTATCACTCATTCAGGTTTTGTACAAAATATTAAAAGGACAAAAAAAATGCATGATAATGGCTGAAGTTTATACAAAGTGTACGAACTAAATGTGGCAGGGCAACATTTCAGGGAAATAAAAAAAAAA